ATAGGTTTTAATTCCCATGTTCTACCTGATGGCAGTATTTAACACAGCACTGGAAATGGGAAGGGGGGCATGAACCCAAAACAAATCCATCTTGTTAGGGTTGACTTAGACTTGGAGATAAATGCTCTTATAAAAGTTTTTTTTTTAACAACTTTCAATTGGACCTTGCCTTCCAGTAACTGAAATTCTAACATCCTGCATCTTTAATTTATATTTAAATTGTATTTCTGTCAATACAGCCTGTAACTGCATTTGTTTTCTTTGCAGTCACCTGAGATTTAGCAATCAGCAACTGTTCCAAGACAAGTTGGCTTTTCCCATATAATTTTCAAGCCAGATATTTCTCATCCCACACGAGTTCAGCAATGGCCAGGGATCATCAAGCTGACCACGGCTCCGAGTGACAGCTTTTAAAATGCTCATAGTGGGACTTAGATGCTATCGGGATATTGGCAACATCCAGGAAGTTCACTGGCCTGGATCTTCACAGCTGCAACCCAGGAGCAAATCCACCATGTTGTCTCCTCCATGATTGTTAGGATGATACCTCTTTCACACCCAGCAGGATTTCCTCTGGATCTATGGCAGGTTTACTCCAGCTGCCTGCCATTAAATGTCATTGCATATCATTGCTGCTTATATTGCAGAGCTGTAAATGGACCTGGGTTGGAACTTCTGGTTTCACCTTCCTAGCTAAGGAAGAAAGTAAAGATCTTCATTTGATTTTAATCATAATGCTTAGCACTGGAATAGCACACGTAACTATTCGTGGGGACATTTGAAAGGGCAAAACAGCCACTGTATTTCACAGCAGAGTGAAGGATTAAAGATGTGTTTTGAGAACCTCGTGAATTCCAGTAACTCTTTAGTTTAGTGGTGGTTTGTGCTACATATGATATGTACTATTTTTTCTTTAAAAACAACAACAACAATTATATTGAACAGATTCGCCTTGCTCTGTTTTTCTGCTATACCCTACACAAGAGGCAGAAAGTTTAAACCTGTATGTGTTTGTGACACAAGCTAATTTTACTTCCTTTCCAAATGCCTTAAATGGTTCTAAATTATATTTACACAGACATACGCACACGGCTGTGCATGCACACATAGGATTGCATATGTTTATGTGTGTGTGTGTGTGTGTGTGTGTGTGTATTCATTCTAATCTAAACCACCCATTGGCTGTTTTAACACAACATAACAGATTACGAGTGGGGCTGGTGTATTGTTGGAGTGGGAAAAACCCAAGTCAGCTTTGTGGTTAAACAAAATGTCCTCCCTAAACAGTTCTGGAACACTTCTGCATTAGATCAGTCAAATGGATCATGCAAATAAACAAGGAAATACAGTATTAACAGAGGAACCTTGTTCTCTTCTGGCTGCCGGCACAGAGACAAGGGCCTAGCTCAGCTCTGCAAAAGCATGGCATCTCTGGGAACAGCCTCTTTTCTGTTTTTCCCCACAGTGATCCTGGCTGGTGATCCTGGTGAAAGAAAGAGCTGGAGGGGGTGTGGGTAGGCAAGATATCCCTTATTCTATGTCAAGGGGTTCTGCCTCTCCCAATTGGTCAAAAATTGGTCAATTTTACATTTGACCCTTAGCAGAGGCTGGACTTTTTCCAGCGGTTGCTTTTTTTTAGGGTGGTGGTGGGGTTGTACATCCTTGGCCATCTTCCCCAAGCACACTGAATGATTATCCAAGGGTAGCAGCAGGTGTGGTGAATTATTTCACGCAACACAAGCCTTGAGTCTCAGAGTTTACAATTGTTACATCAGCACACTTGCTGATCTTTTAATTCAAGCCCAGTCGCGTGTTTTAATTTGGACAAATGCTAAATCCTGTGCACGTTTTTGGAAGAGATTTGCATCCAGCAGTTCCTGCTGGGTGAGCAAATGCATGGAGAGCCTGGAAAGGTGCTATTTCACAAAAGTCTTTCTCCCTCCGAAGTCAAGAGAGCTGACCTTCTCGGGAAGAAAAAAAAATCTGTCATTCAGTGCCAAGGCCAACCCAACATTGGCCACCTTTGGCTCCTGTAAGATTAGATAATGGTGCTGCCCTGTTGGTAGAAGGGGAAAGCTGTTGATTGATAGGAAACATTGAGCACTCAAAGATGAGGTACAAAAAGCTTCTGAAGTTTCAGGAGACGAAGCCAATGGTTTTGGGGAAGTGCCTTGGTTATGCAAACCCAGCTTGCGTCTATTATGGAGAAACGTCTGGTACCCATTTTTGTCTGCTGTTTTTTGGCTCAAATGTTCCTTCCTTCATACAATAAAACTGTTTTTGGTTTGCTGACAGCTATACAGCAGTGGCCAATCCCTGAAATTAACCTGAGAGGAAGTCTGCTTAATCCACTTTTGAACCTCAGCTCAAAAGGTTTTGGAAAATCTGCAAGTAGCTTGCAGTAAGAGGCATTATCCATTCAACTTTGGAGACAGGAATTGCAATTTGAACTATTAAGGAATTTGAGATTGAAATTCAATGAACTAAGACAAACCACACTCCATGTGTAGTCCTTAACGGAACTACATCTACATGGAGGGAAGTAAACAGTGGAGTACCCCAAGGTTCTGTTCAGTTTTACTCAATATCTTCATAAATGATTTAGATGAGGGAATAGAGGGGGAACTCATCACATTTGCGCATGACACTAAGCTGGCAGGAACAGCAAACACTCCAGGAGACAGGCTCAAGATACAGATTGATCTCAACAGATTTGAACTCTGGGGCCTATCTAACAAAATGAAATCCGATATAGAGAATAAGGTTTTATATTTAGGCCTGAAAAACCAAACGTACAGGTACAGATCAGTGAAACTTGGCTCAATAGCAGAACTGTGGGAGGGATCTAATCAACAGTCACTTAAATATGAATCAGCAGCAGCCAAAAAAGCCAATGCATTCCTAGATTGCATTGACAGAGAGAGAGAATCAAGATCATGTGAAATGTCAGTACTGCTTTATAAGGCCTTGGCAAGACCACACTTGGAACAGTGCATCCAGTTTTGGTCACTCCCATATGAAAAGATGTTGAGACTCTGGAAAGAGTGCAGAGAAGAGCAGCAAAGGGGACCGGAGGCTAAAACATGAACAGCTGCAGGAATTGAGTATGTCTAATCTAGTGAAAAGAAAGACTAGGGAAGACATGAAAGAAGTGTTCCAATATTTGAGGGCTCCCTGGTTTTCCACATATGTTTTTATTACTATATTCTTATATATCTAACTTATCTGCATTTTGTCTTGTTATATATTTATGTTATGTTACTGATAAGGTCTTATGACTATTCAATAAACCTCTTACTTACTTACAATATTTGAGGGGCTGCCATAAAAAAGGGGTTATCCCATTTTCCAAAGCACCAGAAAACAAGACAAGAAGCAAGGGTTGGAAACTACCAAGGAGAGAAGCAACCTAAAACTAAGAAGAAATTTCCTGGCAGTGGCAACAGTAAACCAGTGGCTGGCTTGCCTTCAAAAGTTGTGAGTGCTCTAGCATTAGAGGCTTTTAAAAAGAGATTGGATAGCCATTTGTCTGAAATGATCTAGGATCTTTCTTGAGCAGGGAGCTAGATTTTCAAGGCCCCTTCCAATTCTGTAATTCTGTTAAGCCTTATTCGAGTTTCAGAAACATGCCAATGCTCAGATTCAACACTTATATCATGTTTTCATCCAGATTTGCAAATGGATTTAGTCATTCTTAACTTTACTGATTTATTTGAGGGGCTGCCACAGAGAGGAAGGGATCAAGCTATTTTCTAAAGGCCAGACAAGGAATAATAGATGGAAACTGAACAAGGAGAGATTTAACTTGGAAATAAGGAGAAACTTTCTGACAGTGAGAACAATTAACCAATGGAACAGATTGCCCTCGGAAATTGTGGGAGCATCATCACTTGAGACTTTCAAGAAAAGATTGGACTGCCATTTGTCAGAAATGGCGTAGGGTCTCCCGCTTGGGCGGGGGGTTGGGCTAGATGACCTACAAGGTCCCTTCCAACTCTGTTACTGTAGCTTATAGGTATTAACTGGCCAAAGGAGGCAGTTTAGGATTTTTGGTCTTCCAAAAGCAGGGGCCCAAATATGTGAATCAGAGTTAATGTAGCTTCCCCCTAGAAGGCCAACTGAATGTCGTTTGATAGGGAGTAACTGTTATTAGCTATTTGAGTTTGAAGGTTTGACTAGGTGAAATTATTAATCAACTTGCTCTCTTTATGTAATCAATGTTACTGAAAACACCCGATGTTTAGCTTCTGGGTGGGTGTTTTTCTCCATGTGGCACAACAGATGCAGAAAGTCTCCCCTCCTCAACAAATCCCACTAGACCACACATACATTGGTAGGTAAGAGAATTCATCCTCTCAAAATACTGGCCAAGTTCATTTTGGCAACACAGAAAAGCAGCGGGTTTTCTGAGTTTCTCCTTTCAAGACAGTTAGATCGTTTTTTGAAATATTATCTCACCTAGTGCAAGGATTAGGGGCATGTCTGGAAAATATATTCTCCAAGGACTGGAAAAACATTGGAGCCTCTAAATAAAAAAAGAATTCACTTAAAAAAAAAACAATTTTGGATCTCTGAGCCACCAAAGGGGTCCTGGGACACATTACTTAAAAAAAAAAAATGTTCCTGCTTGCAATTGTTTAAACCTGCACCTTTAAAAAAAAGTAAGCTCATTTTGCAAGCAACTATGGATCCCATGCTAAGAATGACAGGTTTGAATCAAATAGGAGGAAGAAGATTATGTATGTTGCTGCTTTGAGTTATTTATAAAAAATAGTCATGGTGGGATATAAATAAATAAATAGTTCAGCTCCTGTTAAAATGTTCTTTTAGCAGACATCACCCTCTGCTGGCAACTCCAGGAACTACACAAAAACAGGGAGGAAAAAAAAATTCTACTCCTCTCATGAATATTCTTTAATGTCAATCTAGACAAAAAGCTACTGCACCAAGTGATACAAATATACAGAACGAGGTGAAAAATTCCAGAACAATTGGCAGAAATACACATTTGTTTATTTTAATATTGCATAGCAATAGGTTCATTTGATTTTATTATAAGGAAAATATGTAATTGTACATACTACTCTGTACTACCGGTAATAGTACGGGTGCCAGGAGTAGCTTCTTATACATCCCTGGCAAACACTAAGCTATTGGTGAAGCTTTATCACAGCCTCAAAATTCCTCCTTTCAACAGTGCAGAGCCGCATCTCCCATTTCCAATGCAACTACCCTGTCCTCCAATTTGCCATGGTTATTACCAAAATCACTGTGCTGCTATTCTGAATCATATGTTGAAGTACAAGCTGACATACTGCTCCCAGTTCAGTTCCCACATAAAATGGTCTTGCTTTCATGTCCATAAAACACACATTTACAAAATGCTCCTTTAAAGTGATTTAAAAGGGGCTATTCTACCATTATATTTTGAAGTAACATAAACACACCTTGTTTTTCGATTTGAAAGCTATGCAGCAAAATTGGGGAAATCTTCCTCTGCACTACAAAGCTGTCCTTCAGTCTGGAATTTGTGAATCTGGCTGGTTCCTTTAAAGATACAATCTAATTCTTCAGCATCTTAGTCCTGCATCATAAAAAAGGCTGCTTTCAATCTCTTTGGACTAACTGAATCTCCTCAGAATCCAGGAGGAGATGTGATACTCTCATGCCTGCTTATGTCCGTTGTGTAAGTAGTTTGAAATCTCAATGAACGTTTACCAGCGTCAGTTATGAGGATAAACAGTATTGTAATAGCGCTAAGGCAGAAAGAAACCGAAGTACCCACCATGTCCTGTGAAATGGGATGGTTTCAGAGCCTGAGAGGATGGCAGATCCTCATGGGCTCTGCGTTCTTCTCGCCATGACTGAAACCGGTACTGAAAAAAGGATAGAATTTGCTAGCCCACAACTGGTGGAAAGTAAAGAGGAATGACATGTCCTCAGCGTTATAAAAAGTCAGCTTTTTGGCCTTGCAGTCCAACAATACCCCCACTTTCTTTAGCAAGCACTGGGGCTCCAAACGTACCCAGGGAGTTGCCGCGGCCCAATACTCGGAGTTGTTCCACAGTCTTATTGTCCAATAGCCATTTTCTGGGGACAGACGGACTTTTGCTGCCCGGTCCACATTGTCTGAAGCCACTCCCAATTCCCACTTCGTCTTGTTGCCCACCCAGACTTCCCAGTAATGCTGCCCGCTTTTGAAGGACGCCCTGGCCAACACGTTCACGCTCTGCAGGAAACGTTTGGGGCTTCTGGGTACCGCCTGAGGTGACTCCCTCTCTGTCACTGAAGTCAGATCTTTGGAGAGGATGAGGTTGGGGTGGGCCGTTTCTGGATCCAGGGTCAGAACAGCAGGAGCTATGAGAACAACGCATGGAATTAAGTCAGGCCTTTGCTATATGGGAGCTCCGCTGGTCTCTCTTTATCCCAAGCCTACTTCAAACAGGGAAAACACACCTGGGATGATGGATTTCAGCATCTTTCGCCAAATTATGTACTGCAAGGGCCTGTCACGCAGCTCCTTGTAGTGTTTTTGAAACAAAGTCAATGTTTCTAGTTGCACTGCTGGTCTGGAACAGAAAGAAACTTAGCTAAACAAGACGAGAGTATACACATCACAACATTTGTCCATTATCAAAGTAAATGGTCTCCAGTCTCGAAGCTTTCCAGTCAATTTACCTGGATGCTACCCCGTACTTTTATTGACCACGAAGTGCTCAACACTTTTATGGAGCAAATTACTGTGCTCCCAATTTTACGGCAGTAAAACTGATATAAAGGGGCTCAGACGTATCTGTTTGCTGAGTCCACATAACAGATGGGAGTAAGCTGAAATTACTGGGTGGGTGGGAAGCAGGATGTAGAGGTGTTTTTAATTAAACCTACCAACCCACCACCACTTCTCCAAGATCCATGCAACCCTTTATTGCTAAGCAAAGTAGCTAAGAAAAGAGACCAATACAGGTAGTCCTCAATTTACAATGGTTTGTTTAGTGACTATTTGAACTTACAACGGCACTGAACAAAGTGACTTATGACCATTTATTCAACTTACGATCATCATTGCAGGCATCCCCACGGTCACATGATCAAAATTCAGATACTTGGCAACTGACTCACATTTATGAGGGATGCAGTTTCCCGGGGTAATGGATCGCCTTTCACGACCTTCTGACAAGGAAAGTCAATGGAGAAGCCAGATTCACTTAACAACAGTGATACTAACTGAAGTGATTTCACTTTACAACTGTGTCAAGAAAGATCATAAAATGGGGCAAAATCCACTTAACAATTGTCTCACTTAACAACATAAATTTTGGGCTCAATTGTGGTTGTAAGTAGAGGACTACCTATACTAACTAGGGAACCGTGCAAGTCAGTGATGCCCATGATCGCAGGCATTTGAAGAATGAAGCATCCTTGAAAACTGTCAAATTCCTACAATGTCCGTTCAGCTTAAACAGAGGGGAAATTTCTGACCTGGGCATTCTGCTTCCTTTTCTCAGCCTAAGGGGGTTTATCAACTCACAGTCTGGAGGGCCAGGAGAAAGTCCTAAGCATCATGCAAGAAACTACTTTGCAGACAAACAGAAACATGCACAGTAGCAGTGTACAAATGGACCTAATAAAAATATACACCAAATGCTATTAATTAATTAATTTTAAACTCATTTCCACAGAAACCTCCAGCCCTTTCCTTACATATAAAAATGTCCCCTGGTATGGTGAAGGAGAAAGAGGATTGCACATGCAATCTTCTCGTTACAATTAACAGGGAGAAAATGGATGCTACATCTCCAATGTAATCATTATAGCAAGTTGGCAGTATCACAATAAAGCAGAAACATAAGATACATATCGGGATCCAACAGGGCCTTGATAAGTGAGAGATTTGTGTTTCTTTTTCCTGCCCACCTGGGTGAAGCTAGAAAGCTCTCCAGGATTGGCAAAGCAAAAGCCAAAGCAGATTAACTGAGCTCATATTGGATCTGATATCCTGCAAATCTGGCAGGCTAAGTCTTCCGTCCATTTAGATTGCTAATCAGTTCTGAGGAACTACAAGTGGAGCTCATTCAAGTAGCTCAACCATTTCCTCCTAGCACATCTGTGCCACACTGTTCAGCATTCAGAGGATACAGATCTACCCGTACATCCTCGATCTGTTCACTGACTTCCTCCAAACTTTCAGTGTGTTGAATACTAAGGTGATGATACCCCAATCTCCACCCTGATGAAATTATCCCCTTATCCCACAGCAGGTGAGAGAAGAAGAAATTGCAAAGGATTTTTTTTTGTGTTTCTTTTCCAGACACATACCTGACAGGCAGAGTTTCCACCTGCAAAAAAGAAGTAGAGCAAATTAAGAAACATCTCACTCAATTTGTGTGGACTAGCACCAGTAGATTCTACAGTATATTATTCTATTCTAAAGTTGGAGAGAAGGACAATTAAGTGAATATTAAACACAATTCCAAAGGGAAGCTAAATGCTAAAGGAATATATTCTGGAGACAATAAATAAACATTTCATGATATGAATGAGGAGATGAGGTAGTTAAGCTTTCAGTCTCTCAATTTTCAAGACACAATTTTTGGTGTCTTTCTGGGCTTTTGCTTGTGAAGGAAATCTGTAGTATGTCACCAGCAAAGCAGAAGAGCTTTATCCCTAGCTGTACATTATAATTTTAAATTACACTGGAAAACCAATTTGAAATACAAAGTTGAGAAATAATAGTTTATTGTACTTTAGATAATTTAGACAGAGAAAATGTCAATGAAGATTCTCAGTCATCCAAGTAGAGTTGTCTGGAAGTTATATCATGGCAACTGGACTTTCCTTTTTTTATTTGAAATGTTTCACTGTTTATCCATGTAGCTTATTCAGAAGCCTAGTTGCCATGATGAAATAATGGAATGCTTTGTATGAATAAAGCACTGAAAGTTAACTGGTCATTGTGCTAAAAGTATTATTTGATGGCAGTAAATCATACAGGGAAGGAAACAGAGCACTAAGCAAATTATTCAACCTTACGCAGGCTGTAAGACAAGAATATAAGTCCTCTGCTTGTTTAAAGTAATCACAATTTCCCTATCACAAGATAAGGAATGCTTATGGTAACATTGCAGGTGTTTGGGGTATAGCCATGAACAGATGCGCTCCTTTGTATGCAGACAATGCTATTTTTGCTGACTGAGAAATCAAGAGATTTGTAGTGAATATTAGATTATATATTACAGTGTGAAAGAGTATGGACCTGTAAATTAATGCATCAAAGACTAAAGCAGTTCTACTGAACAGAGAGGAAAAAAGAGAGCGGCTGCAAATTTTGTGCAAATGGAGAAGAAATAAACCACCTTAGAGCAAGTAGCTGAATTTGTTTCTTGGTAACAAATTACTTGGTAGAACAGTTAACATATAGAGAACTGCACGGATGAATTTTAGAATGCGCAAAATGTAATTTTTTTAATTGTTTCTTTTTTTCATTTATATACCTTATTAGTTTTTACTCCTTTTCTGCCTTTGCATGTTGCTTAGTTCCCTGCTTAGGGAATAGCATACCTTGACTTACAACAGTGATCATTCAAAGTTACAACGGTGCTGAAAAAAGTAATGACTGTTTTTCACACTCATGACCATTGCAACATCCCCATGGTCAAGTGATCAAAAGTCAGATGCTTGGCAACTGACTCATATTTATGACGGCTGCAGTGTCCTGGGGTCAGTTGACCCCTTTTGCAACCTTCTGACAAGCAAAGTCAAAAAAGACCGTAAAATGGGGACAAACAAATGTCTCACTTAGCAACAAGAAATTTTGGGCTCAGTTGTGGTCATACATTGAAGACTACCTGTGCTTAGATAGGTAAAGAATGTTTATTTTATTTATTTAAATTATAATCCATCTTTTGGCTGCCAGCAAAGCAGATTAATTTTACACTTAATTTTATAAATGTAAACATTTAGTAGAAGAAGTTTCATGAAGGGAAAAGGTGTCATGTTTTCTAATGCATTTTGTAAAGGGGTTTGCGATTAAAGCACATTTGTGTTCCTCACATTTAGAGGAACGCATGTAATAAGCTATTTGTTAAAGCTAAATAGGTCTTGTTTCTGAGAGCCTGAATTGAAGACTTTCTGGGAATTTTCCTAGACCCAGCTTGTCCACTAGGGGAAAAAAAGGATAAATATAGTTTTTCAGTAACCATTAACTGATGCCTTTCTTCCCGTTTTCCACTGAACTTTTTTCAGTGATTATTCAAGGAAGTGCTAGAAAGTTGTCGTAAACTAGAATCCAAAAGGTGCTTTTTCAAGAAGCAACTGGACTTTGTTTTTTCTTTGAAGATGTTTTACTTCTCATCCAAGAAGCTTCTTCAGCTCTGACTGGAAGGTGGGGAATGGATTTATACTCCTTGCAGACAGCTGGTTATTTGCATTCTTTTTAGAGAGTCATTGAGGCCACTTGGAGGTTCACCTGATTACTAGTGCAAATGGGTATGGAACCTTCTTGGAACTACTGAAAGGACTGTGTTCCTGTGGTCTGCAGGGACCATTTGTGCTTCAGTTTGAGATGCAGACAGCATAGACTCATTCCCAACAGCCTCCACCTCTGGTTCAACAATGAAAGGACACAGGGCAGAAAATATCCTGCAGAAAGCACAGCTCCAAAACACACTCCTTCCAGCAGTTTCAAGAAGTTTAGAGCCTATGCTCTGGCTTTTTACCTCTAATATCAACTGCGATGTTTCCTTGTGCAGCTTTGCTGTATAGGACCCAGAGCCAATATGGCCGCTCTGGACACTCCAAGGCTCAAGGGCTTTGCAGTAATTTCTCAAGGCAGGCAATTTCCCATGCAATTTGTATCAGAGGGAGAGTCAGCCATTCGTTTAACAATCCTGCCGCTGCAGTCACAGCAACTTACTGTGATGTAAAAAGATCGCATTAAACCACGAGTTATCATTCAGGAATGATACAGGAAAGGGAAATGAAAAGAGCAAATGCCCTTTGGGAGGAGGAAGAGAATGTCAGCTGACATTTCCCTTGCCATGTTTGTCAAGTCTGCAAGAAACGGGACAGGGAGGGAGGGAAGAAAGGAGAGAGGGAGACATTCTCATTGCTCGCCCTGGTGAAATGGAGAAAGGATGGGAAGACAGGTAGAGAGATAACACTACAGACGCCATTAGAAAGCCAAATAGAAATTCCCCTTCTCTTGCAACATGATGCAAAAGGTCAAGTCTAGTTACGGACAAGACAGTAAAACAAGCAATGAGTACAGGCAAACATTTTCAGATTGTAAATTAATACGGGGGGGCGGGGGGGGGGGGGGCACTTCTTCCCATCCACATCTCTCACCCAGGAGATAATCCATTCCTCTGAACTGCCCCACACCCTCCTGGTCTTCCCCGAACCTCGGTGTGTTGCATAAACAAGACGGAGGAAGGGTAGATTTGATCTGAACGCCAAGCCCTAAGTTCAACCCCCATCTCAAGGGAAGTGTAGGAAGCTTCACCTGCAGCCCCGATGAGATCTCAGAGTTTTCCAGCCTACGCTGTATCTGCTCCATGCTCTTCTTCAACTCAGAGATCTCTTCTGTTAATCGTACAGAAGCGTTTTCCAGTCTCAGCATGTACTGCTGCTTTTCTCTAGCCAGTTCTGTCAGCATCCTTCCTTCCTCCTCTTGTAGGATCCGATGAAGATGTTGAAATGCTGCATGGACCTCTGAGTTCAGTTTCCCAGATGTTTTCTGGACAGAGAAAAAGACCACAAGAAATAGAAACAAGGTGCATGTTTGATATATTCAGCCGTTATCTTTGTTTCAAAAGATATTACCTCCCCGAAAGTTTTGTGAGTAATGCATCCTCGCTTTGTTAAGAAGAGCAAAGCACGCTTTTATTTTTAAAGCAGTCAGCTATCTTCCTAGGGATCTGCACAGCCACAGGGTGGCAATTGTATCTATGCTACTATTTAATCTAGAATTGTCCTGTCTCACTTTGACAGAGAATCCAGATGTTGCAGTTAATTCATCGCACCACAATTTTCCCAAGCTGTTCTTTGGTCTTCTTTCAAACAGACTTGAAGATTTTTCTCATTTAAAGGCAATTATGGTGCTATTCTTTTAGCATGGTCTGGCAGAACACTACTGAGTCTTTTCAGAGCTACTGCAACTTTAATTTGAAGTTTCTTTTTTGTGACTTATTTCTCTAATTGTTTCCTGTTCAGTGTAACTGCAAGATTACTTTGTTCCTTGATTAGTCTTTATGTGAACAGCTCCTTTCCCACATGGAATAGTTATAATGACTTGACTCCCCTTGTTCATTTTCTCCTTTAATTTTTATTGAAAAATATTCCTGTATTCTCACATTAAAACAGTCCTCTCACAACAGGATATGATGCAAATGCATAATTACCACTTACGCAGCAATTAATTAGTAATACTATGTTAACAGCAAACAAGAGATTGAAGCTGAATGTATGGGTTTTTCAAAACACCTGGAGGATACCTGATTGAACTCGTGCTAAACGCTTGCAAAAGGTTTGCCGTTCACTTTCATTTGGGTTTTTAAAATGTTTAAAAATTCAGATGTATTAAAAAAGCATGCACACAAACCCTCTACTATCTTTTGTAAGCTTGTGAGCATTTTGTTTGGCCCTCTCCAATTTCCTACAAACATGGCAGCCCAATACAGTGAAGAAAGAAACCTTGCCTAATTACAGTATCATTGACTTTCTCTCTCCCCTGCCATTCAGTTCCATTGTATGCAAAATTATAAAAGCAAATTACATACTGCTTATATTCAGGGGCACCAAAATAAGCCCCGAGATTCATCTGTCTTGTATTATTTGATTTCTTTCTTTCTAACACTCCTCTAGTGTACATTGAACTTTCTGTAGTGAGTCTCAATGGGCTCAAAATGATTAGAATTAATTTTAAATTCAAATTACTCCTTTTGAAGTGAACATTATTTGCTACTTACTGTCATTTCAAACTAGCAACACTTATTAGACTACCAAAGCCTTTCAGAAATTGTCATTATATATTATATATATAATGAATGAAGAGCTAACAGAATGATTACAGAAGCAGCTTTCATGAACTTAAATCTAATGCTTCTGAGACCTGCCTGCTTCCAACCTTTACCCGGGATAAATTTTGTTGAAGGTGGGTTAGATGTACTGCTTTCTCTGATGAACTGGGAGACTGTTATTACTTATCATGTTCCTTCACCTTGATGACATCTGAAGGGTAAATCATAGGCTTTAATTTTTAAAAAGCCCATTAATGATGACTGTGGCTGTTCAGAAAAAGCTGCACAATATTTAATATCATTTCTGACAAGACATCAAGAGGAAAACTAAGATGATTTAGCAAATATCTCTCCCACATCCAGAAGTATGCGTGTTTGTATTCCTTGATTGTTAAAAAAATCTTAATAAAATATTGGAGTCAAATTTCAATTCAGAAAGGGCATTTTCAGATGATGTACAATTTAATATTCTAATACATATCAGAATGATATACATGAGAAAAGCAGGTTGTTCTTTCATTTTAATTTTTAAATTCTCAGTGATTGCTGTATTATCAAGACAGCCACTCATTAAGACTTTGAATTGGAAAGATCCAAGCAAGTCTCATTTAGTCACAGAATTCACAATTCCTAGCCAGTCATCACTCACAGGGTAGTGTTACAGATAAAATGGATACCCTACATATCTTGCTAGAGAATAAACCACAGGATAAATATCGTAATAAACACAAAACAAGCCAACCAATATTTAACATTCTGCCTAATTAAACAAGAATAGCCTCCCCCCATGACAACTTAAGTTTCCTTGAGGGTTGGGCATAAACAATTTGAGAAAGTTCATACAAATCAAAGGTTCATGCAAACCAAGGCAGTTCTTCTCCACCAACCTCAAGTTTAGGAGTTTTTGTTGGCGAAAAAATCCAGCATTTTTAACTGGACTTAAAACACAATGAATGGCAATGCTGTTGAAAAGGTAATGTGATCAGCAAACCACATTTCAGAAAGAATAAACTCCTTAACCCCAAATTCCAAGTGTTCTGCATTTTAGTGGTTTCAAAGAGAAATAATCACAAGATGGAGAAAGTGGACAAATATGTCTTCTCTGGTAAAGGGCATATTAACAGAGTGTAGACAATAACATCCTGACCACAGTGGCCTCAGAACTGTCCGGGATGAATACTAAAGCATGTCAAGCTATAAACCTGATTCTTCAAAAAGGGTCACGATCTACTCTATTGCACATTAGGTTTAATCCATATTGTCGTGAGCCTAATTTTGTTAATTTATATCTGATGTATCACTGCATTTAGGCACCAATAAAGGACATGAATAATCTCCTTGAGTCCAGTTAACCAAGAAGGGATGAGTTGGAGATCACCAATCATGGTAAAAGCGTATGGAATATAACAGATCCCTGACAAGACCTGACATTAAGTAGCAGCTTCCTCCCTAGTCATCAATAAAGTCAAACTCCATGGACTGGTTGCATCTCCTCTCATTCTCATGACCACAACTACATGCTGAAGAATTCCTAGTAAGGGACTGTCCTGCGTAAGTGATTATGTGCTTTTTTTTTCCTTTACGGACATGCTATCCGTGGAGACAATTACTTAATTATTAAGTGTTCCTTGATCCTCATTTTGCATTCATCCATCCTGCAATATAAGGAAACCAGAACATTTACATATATAAGAGAAAATAATAAAACCATCTTTCTGAGTTAGTATAATTTGGTTTTTTTGGAAAACCCAGGTTTTTCAGCCTGGAATTCTAAACATGGCTTAAGAGTGAACTGGTACATAATGTCTACTTGGGTGCTGAAAAGTCACAGAACACAACATACTCTGCAAAAAGAATAAAGGCTTGAATAATAGAGTACATGTAGTGCTCGACTTAAGCAGTTCATTTAGTGATTGTTCGAAGTTACAACGGCACTGAAAAAAGTGACATTACTATTTTTCACGCAGCATCCCCACAGTCACGTGATTTATATATGGATGCTTGACAACTGGTTCATATTTATGACGGCTGTAGTGTCCCAGAGTCATGTGATCACCTTTTGCGAACGACTGGCAAGCAAAGCCAAAGGGGGAAGCCAGATTCACTTAACAACCGTGTTACTAATTTAACAACTGCAACGATTCACTTAAAAATGTGGCAAGGAAAGTGGTAAAATGGGGCAAAAGTTACTTAACAAATTCCTAACTTAGCAACATAAACTCTGGGCTTAATAATGGTTGTTAAGTTGAGGACCACCTGAATACCAGCTTGTTTCAGGAGAGAATGCTATCTATGAAAGGCTGCAACAGCATTAAATATGACGACTATAATAACACAGTAGTTCTTAGATGTTTTCAGGCCTGAAATAACTCTCTGCCCCAATTTCCCATAACTTCTGATCTAGAGGCAAGGCTCTAGTGATATAAAATTGGCCGCCTCTGAGTGATCCCTCTTCTCCCTCGCCTCCTTTTATTAATGGAACTCCATCAAGGTCTTGGGAACCCTGCCGTTCAGAACAATTTGAGAAACCCTGATCAAACCCACAAAAAGGTTAGATCAGGGTTTCCCAAAATGATTTTGATATCGACCTCCAGGGATAAATGGGACTATCCAAGGGTTTGATATTATATTTGTAGAATTAGTAATTAAAATAGTGCTTATTAATTTATTTTCAAATAATTAATGTTTTTGAGGGGGCATCAATGAGCTAAAAGGTTTTAGTTTAGGGTCTGGATTAGACACTAAAATATGTTCTTTTAAGCCCTGGATAACCACTTCCCAAGATAGTCCCAGTTGCTGAGTGATTTAGCAAATGTTCAGCTTGCCAAGACGACCAACACTGTCAATACTATTTTGGTGACATATTTCACTTCTCTCAAGAGGGCAGAGGGCAGTCTTGTGGAAAAATTAACGGAATGCTCTTTCCTGGAGCTATGTCCTCTGCCAACTGTTAAAAACTAAACAAATCATTATGAAAGAAAAACACCACCAAAAATTCATTTGTGTCCATCACCCTTAAAGTGTTAATTCTGTATACAAATGGGAAAGCATTTATTAAACCCAGTTAAGTTCACTCATTGATGCAATCCCATACAACCTTCTTCAACTCATGGCCCTCCAGTCATCCTGCCAATGAATTCAAGAAACCCTCACAAATTTATGTGTCTCTGAATGAACAAATTTTTATTTCTTCCTATTGTATACAGTGTAACTGAAAATAGCTGCCTGCTGTCAGCCCACCACCTATTGTGGCAGGAACAGGTTATGAAACATAGCAGTACCAATGGCAATTACATACCGCTCCGTAGTGTTTTAAAACACTGTCTGGGCAGTTTACAGAGTCAGCGTATTTCCCTCAGCAGTCTGGGTTCTCATGTTAATGACCTTGGAAGGCTCAGTCAATCTTGAGCCAGTCAGGATCAAACTCCTGGCAGTGAGCAGAGTCAGCCTACAATACTGCATTCTAGCCACTGTGCCACCATGGCTCTACCAGCTTTTCTTCATACACTTGTCCATGCACACATACACACACACTCTTTGTGGAGGTTTGAAAAAGTTTGCTCTACTTTTATCCCAATATTATTTATAACACCATTATCTCAGTGTTCGTTTTAGAGGCATTTCTTTGGCAAATGCATTTCAGCAATACAATATTATTTTTTCTTTTAAGATGCCATCATAATCAAATGTCTGTGTTATTTTGCATGCTATAGTTCGAAACTTTGACATGGAAGAGCCTTCTCCTCTGACCTTATTTTTGTTACTGGTATTTAAGAAAGATTTTGTTGGTTTTCTTCAGCGAAATCACCCTGTGGAATATGACTTCTAAGCCTTACTGCACAAAGCAGGAAAAAGATTGGCTTATTGGGCTTAAGCTTTTTCCATCTGCGTACTCTCCCCAGTAATTCCCCCCTTGCTCTGTGCAATACCAACAATTAGAGGTATTAATCTTCTATTCTGCTGAGAGGCCTCAGCAGTCCATTGATTATCTGGGCAGATGATTAGTTTGTCTTGTGACAGCCCAGAAGTAACTATTCTTTATCGACTGCTTTATATTGTTTTGCCTATAGTTTAAGAATAGTGTTAGGAAGAAAAAGTCACACAATGTCATAAGTCCAGCTTTGGTCCCATAGATTGGATAAGTCTCACAGACTATAGGTAGTTTTTCTTCTTCCTTTTATGTATTTTCTGCAATTATGATTGTCTGATTATTCGATTTCAGTGCTTTCTAGCATGTGGCCAAAATGCCCCACCTGGACATGCACAGAAGCTAAAAGATATTGGACTAAAATATACACATGGTTGGAAAAGAAGATAAAACAACATATAGACTTAAAAGCCTGAGATATTCCTATTGGGGATTTTGCCTGAGAACTATAGCAAAGAAATAACATATTTGATTATACATGTATTAACAGCAGCTAGAATTGTATTTGCTCAAACTTGGAAAAATGAAAAAGTTCCGATGGAGGGGGTGGAGATTAAGAAAATATTGGAATGTTCAGAGATGAGTAGGTTAACACTAGTAGTTAGAAAGCAAGAAGAAAAGGAGTATTATAGGATTTGGGATCTATTCTATAGATGGTTGGAAAATAGAGCAAGAAATTAAATGACATTGTAATAATGATGTATTATAATAGACAATGTTGAATAGGCTATAATATGAACCTAGTTAAGAGTTGGGAGTTGTTTTCAAGGATAGTTGAAAAATGAAGCAGAAAATTTAATGACACTGTAATAATGATACACTATGATATATAATGTTGAATAGGTTATAATATGAATGCAAATTTAGTAAGAAATGCATACAAATATTATGTGCACAAGATATATGTACCCAGTCGACACTGTATAACTGAAAGACGGTTTTGTTGTTTTTGTTATAAAAATAAAAAAACAAAAACAAAACGCCCCACCTCTCCCAAACCCTAAATGTCCCACCTCTGACATCATCTCTAGCATCTTAGCCATTTGCTTCTGATTCTAAACCAGTAATATTACCACCAAGTAATTGATATTTTCCTCATTCTTTTGCTTCATCTTCAACAGTTTCTCGCGTTTCATCTGGAAGGTCTGAAGGACCTTTTGGAGCTCCATCTGAAAGAGAAAAAGAAAGAAAAGAAAGAATTAATTCATCGGAATAACTTCCAATATTAATTTTGGAATCAGTACAGTATCCTCAATATTTTTTTCAGCCTCATTTATCCCATGAAGTTGTTCATTAGAATTCAAATAGCACCTGCATCTTCCTTGATCTTCCTTAGTAAAAGGATATGAAAATAGTGCCTGATGTTGTTTTCTCCTCTTTATGCATTTCCCCACCCAATCCCTAACCTCTCCAAAGGCATCCAGAGGTGGGGAGGAATGATAAACCATGTACAGTGACATTGTGATGCAAACCTTGCAATCTTTCTCCTTGCATCCAATGCCAGGACATATGTATGAAAAGGGCGAGATATAAATATTTCCACTTGGTGCTGACAACGGATGCAAACATGGAAAAGTTCCAGAGTTGGCATTGGGCCTATGAGCCTCTCTTTACTTGTTTTACCACTGTTCCCTAATCAGTAATTATTATCACCATCTTTTTTATTCATTTGCCAGAGACTTCTCTTTCTTGCTTTCTCCACCCACCCCACCTATGAACTAAAGGACCACACTTAAAAGGATTTCAATGCTGGTTGTGCTCTCGTGCAGAATTGAACAAAGATTTCCAGTACTATTTTCTTTCACTTGTGATCTCTTCTTCCATCTTTTTTCTTATGTAAAAAAAAAAACAGTTAGAAAAATGGACTACCTTTTCACTGGCAGCCATTTCCTGACTATAAGGAAACATCCTTACAAATCAATATTGGCCAATCAGTTGGGAATTCAGATCTCTGAAACATAAGGACCTCAGTCCCAATCTTTTCCTTGGGAATTTTTCTCCTAACCTCTGTTTGTCCCAATGGCAGATAAGGATGCTAGACAAATTCTTGTTCTTCAGTATTGCGCTGCAAAGAACAACATTGTGAGACGAGGAGAAATAAATTAAGCAAAGGATTAAAACTTCAAAGAAGTTAAAAGATAGGACTAGAGCAAAATGCAATGGAGAGGGAAAAGATAAATCTTCTCTCACAGCTCACTTCACCTGACAGGGTGATCACTGTGTGGAAAATAGGATAAATGACTATTAAATATGTTCCCTGCCCTGGGTTACTTATGGAAATAATAAAGGTGGAATTAAAAATATTTTAAAATGGTAAAGATACTACCAGTTGCCAAAGTAAATTGAAAAGAGCTTGGAGAGAATGGAATTAGAATAAAAATATAAAATATCTTGATTCAAAAGCTGAAGAAGCTTCTTGGATGAGAAGCGAAACATCTTCAGAGAAAAATCAGAAAGACCAGTTGCCTCTGGCAAAAAGCACCTTTGGGTCTTGATCCAAAAGTATTTGCTAGAAGGTATTAGGCATGTTTGCACACCATGGAAAATTAAACTTCTTCAGAAATATATGATATGTCCTCAGACAATTTTTGATAATCCCCATTTTCATGATTACATCTGTAATAGATATATCTTTTTTTATGTGAATAGAACTGGCTTGTCTTCTTCAAGCCAAAGAAAATCACAAGCCATGCAAACCAAGAACAATCCATGATGAGCTTGTAAAAGAGGAAGAAACCACAGTTCCTGTTTTACTCACTGTAATACAGACAGACCATAGATGGAAATAATCAAGTTCATTAATCATGTCCGTAAAAGGCATATTGGCTTAATTCAGGTTTTTTTGGGGTGCCTTTGAGTCGTTGATGATTCCCGTGACTGCTTGAATTAGTCCTGAAGTTTTCTTGGCAAGGTTTTTCAGATGTGACTTGCTTTTGCCTGCTTTCTACAGCTGAGAGATAGCACAGTGATTGGCCCAAGGTTTTGTGCTTAAGGCAGGACTAGAATTTATAATCTCTTGGATTATAGCCAGATGCCCAAACTGGATCTCTATTGCAATGTGCCACATGCTAAACATGCTTCTTGCCAAAAGGCCAAGGAAAATGGTTCATTGCACGGTTACTTACCTTGGTTTTTCTTCTGTGCTCCTCAGAGGCAGATCTTCGAACTGTCTCCACTATATTAGATACAATGAAATTGGGATGAAAAGATCGGGAAGGAAACGTTTGCCGACACTGGGGGCAAGTGGCAATTCTGGAGCATCCATTCCAATATTTCAGGATACACTCTTTACAAAAATGGTGCATGCATTCCAGCATGACAGGGTTTCTGAAGAGGTCATAGCATATTGAACAAGTTAATTCTTCTTGAATGCTCTGCTCCTGACTCTTGCCAGCCATTTCTGCAAAAGGATAAAAGAGGGCCTAAGTTTCCATTCTACGGAAACAAGAGTTTTACAAGTGGAACGTACTGAGAAATGCATGATTAGTTTAAATACTTCCCCTAAACACATAAATAACCATTGAGCAGGACTGCATATCCAAACCCCTAAGCTTCCACCTGTAGGCAAATGTGAAACTATCAATAAAAGCATCTCTTCTTATATAGAAATGTAGCAAAAAGGAATGCAACAGGTTTTGATCTTCTTTTTTTGTAGGTAGCAGGAAAGTCCTTTGAAATCTCATGCCCTTCTGGTGAATTCAATTTTAATCAGAAGCACAGGAGAATAAGAAAGAGCTACTAGATTTCAAAACCCTCGGTTTGGCAGGGGTTTTCCTCGCTTCGCTACCCCCTAGAGGCTATTTGGAGTTTTGCAGTCCAGATTTGCTCTCTCCAAACAGAAATCACACACCCGCAAGCTGCCTGCTAAGAAAAGAAAGACGTGGCATCGCGGAGACCCAGTTCACATCTCAACAGCTGCCTGCATAAAAGCAAGCTCCTTAATAGTTTTTCTCCAAAACAACCCGACCCCGAGAACAGGGGGGCGGAGCGATTCAGACAACAGCCCGCACCCCACACCTAAGGATCCCTAAAGAAAAGCAAATGCTTCTCCCAAAAGCCCTATGGAGCTATAAGGGCTGGGCGAAGGAGTACCCCGAGCCGAATGTGGGCGGCTTCCCCTCCCCGGCCCTTGTTCACTACGGGCCAAGACAACGACCGGGCTACCACCCCCTCCTCAGCATCCACGCTCTGCGTCATCGCCCATTGTATTTCACTAACCCGCCACGTCGCGCCTTCGCCGAGGAAGTCGGCTAAACTCCCCAATTCCAAACTGCACTCAGCTTTGCTTGAGCGGCGGCCCTTTGCGCCAATCGGGACAGCCCCTGGCCGGCCGATCTTGCTCTCTATTGGTCGGGTCCCGTCGGGGCTGCTGAGGCTGCTTGATGTTGCCGCGAAAGCCTTCCGGGAGATCCAGGTTGCCTCTGCTCGCCTCTTTCTTCGGTCCGTGTTATTTGCTGCAGGAGAAAGGCGTGTTGTGAAGTTTTTGCAGTTGACGGGGCTCATTAGCAGGGGCTTTTTTTTTTTCCTTTTTCTGCTTGCTGCAAAAAGCCGAAGAAGTTTGCATTCAGGACTTAATAATTCTGTGAACTCTTTAATTAGGGAGGAGCAACGGTGGAAGCCTGCGATTGGTCGTTTCCCAAACAAACAACTTTTATCTCTTGCGGAGTTGGCTAAATTGCACAGTCTAATACAGTACAGTGCCGCACACCTTTACCCCCGTTTTCTTATGTAAGGGGAAAACTCAAATGACAGCCCTGCAGCCTTTCTCATGGGCCAGTATTTTGAAAGACCTCGGTAAATCTTGCCCTTTTTTCTTTACTATGTCTCTATCGCGCCACTAAAGTTGAGAATCAGATATAAATACAGCAAATAATAAGTTAGAAGGCTTCTTTTACGCATTGAAGTAAACTTTGGGGTGGGGGTGGGGGTTTGCATAGCAGTGGACATGTTTGCCTCTTTTTGGCCATCAAAATGATACTTTACATGCTGCCTTCTTGGTTGCAAAGCTTTGAGCTGATTCTGCAGATCTGCAGTCTAAGCCAGCACAAGCTTAGCTGAGATAGTTGCAAAGATGACAGTTTCTCTGTATCACCATGGTACATAGATGTGTTTTTTACTAGGTTGGCTAAACTTTTTTTTCTCTAGCAAGAGTTATAGGGATCATTAGACTTACATGCATAGCAACAAAAGCGTTTGTAAAGATATAAATAAAGATACAAAGATATACAAATAAATAAGACATAAATAAATAATAAGATATAAATAAGATATAGAATGCTATACAACCAGGCCAGAAACATATTAACAAGAGAGATCAGAGCAGCAAAAAGAAGCTACTCTGAAGGTCAAAGAATCAATTCTCAACAAATGAACCATCAAACATGTGGAAAACTCTTAAAAACATCACTGGCTTCAGCAAAACCTCCTTCCCAGGCAGAAGGAAATCAACAACTAGCAGATGACCTGAATGTGTTTTACTTCAGGTTTGAAAAGAAACTATAGCCACCTATCTCCACAACCCACATCACAAACACACCAACAACAGCCAAGCCTCCTACAACTGGCTCCAATCCATTGGGCTCACAACCTCTGGTGATCACAGAAAAAGAAGTCCAAAATCCATTACACAGACAGAAGCCAGGAAAAGCACCAGGGCCAGACAAGATAACTCCTTCTTGCTTAAAGGTCTGTGCTGACCAATTGGCCCCCATCTTCACCCGAATCTTCAATAGATCACTAGAGATGTGCTATGTTTCTTCCTGCTTCAAATGCTCTACCATCATCCCAGTGCCAAAGAAGCCCTCCATCAAGGAACTGAATGACTACAGACCAGTTGCTCTAACATCTGTAGTTACAAAAATCTTTGAAAGGCTTGTTCTGTCCCACCTGAAAACCATCACGGATCCATGCAGTTTGCATACCGAGAAAATAGATCGACAGATGATGCTGTTAACATGGCTCTGCATTACATCCTACAACACCTTGAATCTCCAAATATTTACGCAAGGGTCCTCTTTGTAGACTTCAGTTCAGCATTCATTACCATCGTTCCAGACACTCTTCTAATTAAATTAAACCAACTAGCAGTACCTGAACACACTTGTAAGTGGATCATAAGCTTCCTAACAGACAGGAAGCAGCAGGTGAAGCTTGGCAGAATCACATCGGATACCTGTACAATCAGCACAGCCCCCCCCCCCAAAGCTGTGTGCTATCTCACTTCTCCCTATATACCAATGACTGCATCTCAAATGATCCATCTGTTAAAATACTGAAGTTTGCTGATGACACAACAGTGATTGGTCTCATTCGAGACAACAATGAATCTGCATAGACAGGAGGTTATACAACTTGCCTCGTGGTGTAACCGGAACAATCTGGAACTGAACACACTCAAAACCATAGAAATGGTGGTAGACTTTAGAAGAAACCCTCCCATACTACCACCTCTTACAATACTAGACAACACAGTATCAACAGTAGAGACCTTCAAATTACTAGGTTCTACTATATCATATGACCTAAAATGGACACCTAACATCAAAAACATCATCAAAAAATCACAACAAAGAATGTTCTTTCTGCGCCGACTCAGAAAGCTCAAACTGCCCAAGGAGCTGCTGATCCAGTTCTACAGAGGAATTATTGAGTCCATCATCTGCACCTCTATAACTGTCTGGTTTGGTTCTGCAACCCAACAGGACAGACACAGACTTCAGAGAATAATTAGGACTGCAGAACTACCAACCTCCCTTCAATCGAGGACCTGTATACTGCACGAGTCAAAAAGAGGGCTGTGAAAATATTTACAGACCCCTCACATCCTGGACATAAACTGTTTCAACTCCTTCCCTCAAAACGATGCTATAGAGCACTGCACACCAGAACAACTAGACACAAGAACAGTTTTTTCCCGAAAGCCATCACTCTGCTAAACAAACAATTCCCTCAACACTGTTCAACTATTTACAAAGTGTACACTACTATTACTGTTAATCTTCTCATCACTCCTTATCACCCATACCCTCCCACTTGTGATTGTAGGACCGTAACTTTGTTGCTTGTATCCTTATGATCTATATTGACTGTTTCCTAGTATGATTTGATTGTTGATTGTACCCTATGACTATCATTAAGTGTTGTACGTTATGATTCTTGATTCTTAACGAATGTAGCTTTTCTTTATATATACTGAGAGTATTTACACCAAGATAAATTCCTTATTTGTCCAATCACACTTGGCCAATAAAGTATTCTATTCTATTCTATTCTATTCTATTCTATTCCTGTCCTATCCTATCCTATCCTATCCTATCCTATCCATCCTATCCTATCCTATCCTATCCTATCCTAAGTGGGGGATCATCATCTTTGTGCTTCCAGAACAGCTTTTGGAGTATTCCTGCTAAAATGTCCCAAAGATACTTTTGCAAGAGGCAGCTGGACTTATTTTTCTTTTTAAGACATTTCGCTTCTTGGATGACAAGCGAAATGTCTTGAAAAGAAAACCAGGAAAGTCCTGTTGCCCTTTGAAAAAGCATCTTTGGGACAACCATGACTCGAATGACTGAGAATCTCCGTAGACTTCCTGCTGTAATGGATCTTGAAATGGCTTCAGTTCACCATTCAATTCACTTGAATCAACATATGCATCAGATGACAGACAGCACTGTCTCTAATGCCCTGTGTTTTTAGTGTACATCTTCAGTAATAGAGAAGAATTTTGAAATATCATTGACTGATTGATGTGCCATCAAGCTCTTATTGACGCTTAACAACCACATAGATTTTTGTACAGGATGATATATCACTAACCTGGACTTTTAGGTCTTCCAATGATGCATTCATCACCCCTGGAACTGAGATTCTCCACCTTGCTGCTGGTTGTCCTCTTTCCTTCACCTTTCCTAGCATTTGAGTTTTCTACAGAGAGCTGGATCTTTGTGTAATGCGCCTGACAGAACAATTTGTGCCTGGTCATTGTGCCTTGAGTGAGAATTCTTATTGTGTAATTCATCAGTTTGTGTTCTTGGCTGTGGAATATCATATAATAGCCCAAACATGGAACTGGCCCTTGAGCTACAGCTGCTTAGCAAATTTAAGTCATTTTTAAAATTAAATTGATATGCCGCCCATCTCACCCAGAGGTGACTCTAGGCTGCTTACCACCAAATAAAAACCACAGAAAACATTAAATTAATAAATATTAATGACTTAAAAATTAAATATGTTACCCACATTTGAAGGTGGTTCTAAAATGTTCTTGGACTCTAGTGTTGAACTCTAGTGTTCAGGCCCCAGGGCAAAAGGCCATACAAGATGTATCTACCTTGAACCTTTGTCATAAGGCATCCTAGGCATAACTCTTATGCACATGAAGTTTTGTGGCTCACAGCAGACTTCAATAAGAACCTAGATCATAATTTGATTGTGGGCCTAATAAATTCCTAGAGGTACCCAGATACACTGGAGGGTATAATATTTCATTCCTATTGTCGTATATCTCATACGCACAAAGGACGCGAGGCAGTGACTTGGTTCAGCTCTTTATTCGGGTAAAACACAAGACCGGGAAGTGGGGAAAAAGTGCGGCTTAAAAAGACCTTCTGCTGAGTGCTGCGGCCAATCGGGTCGTTTTGAATCGCCCGCGATCGGCTCAGCCAATCGCGGGCGATCCCGAGCGACCAATCAGTGCCGCGCACTCAGCCAATCCGGTGGCAGTGCGTTTTAGCCAATCCGGGTTGCCGGATTTCGAGTATGTAGATTTCTATACAGAACACCCCTCCCCTCTTGGTTTGGTCCTACGTGACGTAGTCCCGTAAGTAGGCGGGGCTCCGTATTTTCCTACTTGACTTGCGTTGGTCAGTTGTCATCTGGTTGTTGGCCGGTTCGGGTGGGACTCCTGTCGCTCTCCGCCTCGTTGATGGAACCGCCTGGAAGGGTGAGTCAGGCCTCTCGCCGCGGCTCCCTCCTGGTCTTCCCGGGTCGGTCGAGCTGCTGGCTCCGCTGCTCCCGCTCGGCTTTTCCGGGCTGGTTGAGCTGGCTTGGCTGCTCCCGCTCGGGCTTCCGGGGTCGGTTGAGCTGGTTCGGCTGCTCCTCCCAGGCGAGGCTTCGAGTGGGTCGTTCTCCGGTTCTTCAGGTGGTGAGTACTGCTGGTTCCTTTTCGGGTGGGTTTGTTCTTTGGGGTCTTCCCTCCCCTCTTGGTTGGTGTCCTGCCGGTTCCCTTCTGTACCTGGTATCTGCGTGTCGGTTGTGTTTCCCGCGGTGGTTCTTGATCTCAGTTGGTCGATGTGGCGCTTCCACGCTCGTCCGTCAGCTGTTTGGAGGCGGTACGAGAGTGGCCCTGTTGCTTGGGTGATCGTTGCCGGTACCCAGAGGGGGTCTCCGGTGAGGTTTTTGGCGTAAACCTTGTCTCCCGGTGAGAATGTTCTGTGTTTGCTGGTAGAATCAGGGGGTCTTTCCGGGTTGTATGTGGGGTGCAGGCGGTCGAGCGGGGATCGCAGTTTTCTTCCCATTAATAGCTCCGCTGGGCTCTTGTTTGTTGTGGTACTCGGGGTTATGTGTTGAATTAGGAG